TTCCCCACCTTGGCTGATTAGACCTCGTGGGGACTTAATCCCCCAAATTCCCCCTCAGAATAGGGGGGATTGGGGAATTCTGGGAGTTGAAGTCCACAGGATTTAAAGTCGCCAAGGTTGAGAAACACTGTTGTAGAGAACTCTAAAAAAACTTTACAGATTTCTCTCTTTTCGGTTACCCCTGGAAGGCTTTTTCTATTCATGGAGCGCACCTCCTTCCATCCTACAAAGGCCCTTGCTTTCATCTGTTCAGGTGAATTATACTCAAAGGTCTTGTAGTCAGACTGTTCTGAAACTGCTTAAAGATAGATCAGACACTACTTAAAAATGGGGCAAAATTGCTTGATTTGGTGGTGTCTGCAGGAGATGTGTAAGCACCAAATTTTTTAAAAAAGAAATCAAGATGGTAGGTACCCTGGTCCAATCAAAACTTCATTTGTTGTTTTTTTTAAGCATGCAACGTCTGATAAATCAGGCCGCTGTGGTCACTACCAGGAGTTTTTGGAATCTCCCTTCTCCATTTTTGATTCAAAATACAAGTGAAGTAGCTGCACTGTCCCCATTTCCCAGGCCATGTGGGATGCCCCCTTTCAAAAGAAGTAGAACTGACCCTTCAGAAGTAGAGGGTGTGCCTAGGGAACCTCTCCCCTTACAAAGCTACTCCCATCTTGGGATATCTAATATAATGGGAAGGAGAAATTACTACATTCATGAAAATGTTTAATCACATTCTATAATCCAACTCGGTGTTAGATTACTTTTTCCTAAATCTGGAGGTCAGAAAAGGCTGGTCTAGTCCATCGCTGTAGCTTCCTCATCTTTAATCTTCCTATGCTTTTCTTTGCCATCATTTCTCAGTGCAGAATTAACTCGCTAGAGTCACTGAGAAGAGCAACAGATCCTTTCTTTAAAACTTTAATTCAGGTTGAACATTCCAGATCTTGTTGGATTTGAACCCTTCTCATATCCAACCACTATGGTGGACAGAGATAAGAATTCAATTCAGCATCCACAAGGTCCCTTTTTGGGCAGTGGTTGGACAACTCTCATTTGGCCAGTATGAGAAAGGATAGTGGTCCAACCTCTGGATCTACATTACAGCTTCAACAAGGGTTACCAGCAGGTTATGAGGAGACAGCTGTGCTCTGTGTCTCTCCCCAGTAGAAAGCCAATTTAGATGCCCCTGGGCACACATCCAAAAGTGGGTTTTTTTTGTCTCATGGTCCACAAATTGTGAACTTATTTTCTGGGTGCCAAAACTCTTTTCTAAATAATAATCATGTTCCCACTCTGGCAAGAGGTTGTCAGCAGACAACTAATTATCGATTATAACTTAATTACATTAAGTTGAGCCATATATAAGAAAAGCTTTCACAAAATTTAATTCAGCCCATAACTTGAGGCTATTCCTTCAGCAGGCATTTCTCTTCAAGGAAGAACCATTTCTCAGTGATTTGAATTACTTTTCTCTAATAATTTGTAATATTATTTACAAAATGTAACAAAGTCAATGGGGTTTACTTGCAAATAACTTTCAATTGGTAAGTATCTGCTTTTTAATCTATGGTTTGCCGAACCATAATAAAACTATTCAGATTATAATTGACACCAATTAGTCATTATCAAACACTTTCAGTGCCTTTTGCTTTAGTTGGAGATTGTTCAAAAGATTTACTCCTTTTTTTATAGCAATAAGCATGACAGGGAGTGTAGCTTGAATGAGCTATTGAAACAGTTGTCCATTTATATTCCTCACTGCATATAAAGAAACTTTGATAGAATACAGTTATGAAACTGAATGCAGGATTTAATTACTATAATTGCAGGCTGCTTGGTCAAAAATAAGAATCAGGATTTGCATGTACTACTACAGTCAGTTGCTGTAAGCATTCCTAAACGTGTTTGGAAGGAAGATCTTCCTGGGAAAGCAGATTTCAACTTTACTGGTAGTGCAACTGTGCTAAAAGGCCAACCTCATTAACAATGTAGAGTCTTAACTAGGCAGATTTTATGTTTTCCCTCCACAGAAGAAATAAGCTTCCTCCAAATGTGCTTTTGAAACAGTTTGAAAGGAGACCTGGCACTGATCAGAAATGGCTTGATTAACTGAGATCTCTCTACGGATCCCTACTGGTGGTCCAAAGGAACCAGTGAAAATCTAGATGGCTCCCAAGTATCTTTACAGTATTTGTAATCAGTGAGTTTAAGAATGCATCCATGTAAGCCATCATTGAAATTCGGATTTTCATGACTGAGAACCACTTGATGAATGAGGGAATTACTGTATTAAAATAAATCATTCTAGTTTCTACAGAGCCATTGAAAATGATCTCATCTTTAAAATCAAGTATCTCCCAAGGAGATTCATCTGATGATTTCATGTAGCGTTGTTGGTGCCAATATGAAAGTGCTTTACCCTTGCTTTTTTTTTCTGGGATACCTGCACACAGCTCTCACATCCAGTGTAGCTTGGAGACTGCAATTCCCTAGGCCATCTCCCATCCAAGTTCTAACCAGAGCTGATCCTGCTTAGTTTTCCAAGGGCAGTCATTTGTGATCTCCTGTATTAGCTGGATTAATTTAAAAAAAAACTTCCTTTGGTGTTGCAAAATCTACCTATTCAGAGATAAAGTTCTATTCAGGACATGCATTTTCAACTTGTGGAAAAGAAGTCACTCTGGATTTATGAAGGGGTGACAAATTCAATCTGCTGGGGAGCCAAAGTTGGCACTGCCGGAGGCTTTGCTTTTTAATATCTGCTTTCTCCCTGACTAGCAGACCAAGATAGATAGAAGGACCCTGAAAGGCAGGAGGCGTAGTTCAAACCGGCCAATAAAGAAGGCCTGTCACTTTAAGACAAGAAGCAGAGGAGCACTTTGATGACTTTGTATTAAGCATCCCAGCTCTGAGTAAGTGACTCCTGCCTGGCTCCCTTGAGGCCTGGAGCTGAAAAGCAATTCAAGGGGATGACACTTCAGGCAAAGCTGCCTTAACCAGGGCACTCCAGGAGGAAAATCCGCTTAGGGAAAGAATGGACTTGGATGGGGGAACTTGACCTGCCGGTTTCATTGGGTTGTGCTTCCTAAAGTCAAACAAAGTGAGGGATTCTGAGTTGTACAATAAAGTGGGATGCAGACCCTCACATCAATCACCTGCATAGGATGGCTTTGGACAAGGCGGAAATTGAATGCAGCCTTTAAGCAGATAGTGTTGTGTTTTTTGGGGAAAGAAGGAATACAAATACCTTGGTTTTAACTAGTTTGGGGATATCAGATCTCCTCTACTGAAACTCCCCAAATTGCCTTTAAAAAGTGCTTTTGGAAATTTGGCCTTAAGAAGGGAGAGCTGAAACACATAGGGATTTTTTCCCTCACTTCTCCTTTCTTGTTCATGAGGGCCTTTTAACTTTTAATTTGGAAAGGGCCATTTTTCTTTCCTTTCTCCCTCTTCTCTTCTCCCTCCTCAGCTAAAGAAGTTCAGATGTGTTGCAGTTCTATTGCTCACCACCTCTCATTCCCAGGCAGGTGGATTGGTTTTATTCACCCTTTCCTCCCACTAATCAAGTGCAGATTCCAGGTCCAGGGCCATGATTATTGGTCTAAGGGCAGCAGTTGGTCATCACTGGATTGATATAAAGCCTGATTGTATCAGCACTGTTCATTCAGAAGATACCAAGAATTGCTAGTGAGGAAATGCCCCAAGTATGCTTAATGCAAGCTTGAGACTGTGCACAATGCAGGTATGTGCATGCAAAGGAGGGGAGGATATGCCAAAAGTAGAAAGTGGAGAATCAATGAATTTATGCAGAAATGTGTGAAAGATCTAATTTATGAGAAAAGGGATACATCAGTGATGATGAGAAAAGAGGAGATACCTCCACACAAGGGAGGGAATCAGGAATGTCAAAGACAAAAGAACATTAGGGTAAATTCCATCTTTCCGCAGTCAGGATGAGGTTCTCATCATCTAACTGCAGAAAGGATATTATGGCAGTAATTGTCTACCATATTTATCTCTAATGAACAACAAGAGAAGGAATGCAAGCTTTTCTGTGATCCGGAATAAAGATGAACAGACCGATGTGAGAAATGACAGCATGGATAGATTCATACATTGCTCTATAAATGCTGTTCCAATTGTGGCTTGTTCAATGAGCCACAGAGGCAGAGTTCAATAATCATGCTATGCAATGGTTTAAGCGGTTTAAAACTTAGGATGGCTGAGGGTATGGAATGAACTTCCAGCCTTGTGGCAAAAACCAGCACGTGTAAGAGTCTGAGAGTGGGGAAAAAGCAAGTGCAAAGGCATCCACGAGAGATGATGTTGTGAACCAAGTGACAAAACCAGTATGAAGGAAGGGTGGATGTCACTGATGGCAGTAAAAATGATGCAATTAAGAAAGAATATTAGTGAAGAAAGAACAGGAGCATGCTGTAGAATCACATTAGCTTCTTCTTTCCGAAACTAAATGGCAAAATTGGAAGAAAAGTGAGTGCTGGTGGGAGAGAAAAGCATTGCGTGTGTGGAGAGAAAGGTCTCCTTTTGGGAGTCTTGGGCAGGGGGTCCAAAGGGGGACACCCTCTGGCCAAGTCACTTCCCCCCTTGACAGGGCCTGCAGGAACCTTTTGGCAGGCAAAGGGTTAAGGAGCTGAGGTCCAAATGCACAAGGAAAAGGAAATTGGCAGTTAATTTGGCATCTTTTTGAACCAGGGAGGCAGGTGAGGCACACCAGGTCCTTCAGAAAGACCAGGCAATGAAATACATGTATCCATGGGATTATTAATGGGGAGAATTTTGGAAAAGTCTCTTTTCCCTGAGGACTTAGGTCATGAAGGCAGAATAGCAGTTAAACAAGCATTGAGGAGCTGCATCCAACACACCATTCTGACTCCAGGTGTCCACACAACCAGTAGAAAAGGAGGAAGAGGAGCAGGTGGCAGCTAATTGTTATCCGCCAATGATGGTTAGTGGCGACTCCGCCACCCGAGCAGAGAGCCAGGAACCTGTGAGGTGAACTGCTCTTATCTGAAAGGGCGCAACNAAGTCTACTGCTATTGCTATAAGTCTACTGCTATATAATTATGGCTGATGATATTACTAAAGTTTTAGATCCATCATCATATTGCAATTGTTTTGTGCTAAATTCAATCTTAATGTAGGGCACAGCTACAAAGTTACATGTTATAGTTTAATTTAGTGGATATATTGTCACTTCTTCTGAATGCCTCATAAGTCTAGTTCCATTTTTTACTATTTCAATCTTCAATTGATGAAAGTGATAGATGTAATATTACAATATCGATTCATGTTCGACTATCATATTTTTTATATTTTTAACTAACATTTTTTATTAGATTATAAGATAAAATACAAAATACAAAAGTAAATAGGAAGACACAGTGAGGGGAAAGGGGGAAAGAAAAGAGAGGAGAAACTGGCAAAGTAAAGAAGAAACATTGAGTTCTGACTCCCTCTGTTGCAGTTTAAAAACGCATTAACCTCAAACCACAACTTGTTGTTTTTCCATAATACTATAAACTATCCATTTCTATAAAGACATATCAATGTCAGACCTGCAGTCATATTTTCTTCTGGATCTTAGGTCTGCCACACTTTCTATTATTCTACTATGCATTTCTATTGTGGGAAAATGGAAGGTGGGATTGTATAGAGTTAGATGATAACAAAACTATTTGTTATCAAAATTATTTCTAGAAAGTCAAGGTCATCCTGTGTTTCTGCACCTCTGCACTTGACCGGAACTGGATGGGTGAAAGCTGCCAGCATGGGAGTGGACGATTGGACCATGCGATGGACTTGTGGGTGTGGGGGCAGGATCTTGAACTTTCAGCTGGGTGGGAAAACCAGGAAGTCTCCAGGTTCAGATTTTCCCAGATGTGCCAACAGGGCTCTCTTAATAAACTGGAACTTTGAGCAATACTTTGCCTTGGACTCTGATTTACTTTTGGATGCTATTTGGAACCTTGACAATCAATCTAATTGGTAAAACTACCATAACAATCACCTTGCTTTTTAAAAATAATAGTTTAAATACTGTACAAATTATCATTTAGCTATCCACTTTTTATAAAACTGATAAACAAGACTTTGAAGATTTTCTAACAATAGACTGCAAAGAGATATATTGATGATCATATTATTTCATATTTATGCATCATACAAAATAAGCAATCCAAACAAGACCATTTTAAAAATTAAAGAAACTTTAGAGGAAGTATGCAAGAAAATCCTATATTTATGTAAAAGGTTCATATCTGCTAGATTGGAATTTTAGTCTCTATGTGTACTTAAGAGTAAAATAATCATTGAATTGTATGAAAGAAAAATATTGTTTTATAGGAAGGAATAGAGAGCACAGTCAGTGAATTATTGGCTTCTCAGCTGAAACAGCTACAACAACATTAATTATATTGTATAATTAATGTTCTTTGCAAAATATGAAATGACTCTAATCTAATGAATTAGCATTTTAAAAACAAATAATTGTGCTTGATTTTATAATATGGAGTCAAAGGTTGGTAAGGAAGAAATTATTTAAAATAATGAATCTATATTTCACATACACAAGTTAATTATATGACTATCTTTATTTCTTCACTGATACTATTAAATCTAAAAATAGATGATGCTCCTTTATTTTCTCCTCCTTTTTTGCAATTTTATAATGAGGATTTTTGAATGAAGTATTGCCATCTTCTTTTAATTAGTTTCACACAACTGAATTTGAAGGTTAGTAAAGCTACTGCTGACAGTGCAAATTATCACCTGAATTCTTTTATAAATCTTGATGCCAAAATGTTGGTAGTCTCACTGAAATATAGATTACATATAAGCTTATCTTTGTCCCTCAAGGGCAATTTTGAAGCATGAAAGTTCAGTAAGTCTCAAATAACATTAGATTATTAATGTATATTACAAATGTCAATTCAGAAAAGTGGAATCAATGTTGCCCTTGTTGGACATGTCACTTATCATGCAGTTTAAATTCTTGGAGCACCTTCTGGTGAAACATGAATGTTTCTTTTATTTAATTACTTGAATTAAAACTTTAGTCCTTCAGTCACATACGGAATTACCTTCATTGATATCTTGTCAAGGAAGCCTTTTCTTTTCCTCTTGCATTTAATTTGAAACTGAAATTACTATCATTGTGTAATCAGGCAATTTAAGGATATTAAGGACATAAAAATGGTTGTAGTTGAAAACAAAGTGTTATTCTAGACTGATGATGTAGTATATTTTATTGATAATTCTAAATATTCTGTATCAAATCTTATAGACAGAGTACAAGTGGCTGATAAATTTTCAGATTAATCCATTAACTAGTGTAAGCCTAATACATTTATTTCAGTTCTCTTAAATATCTTGGAAGTACCTAGACCAGTACTGGAAAACCTTTTCGGCGCCAAGTGCCAACATGGGAGCGTGCATGTGCCAGAAAAGCAGTTCCCTGGCACACATGCAACTGACAGGAAGCTGAGCTTCCAGTTTCCGGAGCATGCATGCATGCTGGTCACCAGGTCTTCCAGTTTCTGGCATGCATGTGCATGCAAATATCAGCTGGCTGCTGAGCATGTGTATGCCTAAACCAGGGGTGGGTTTCTCACCCCGTTCCAACCGGTTCGGTTAGAATGGGGCTGGCGGTGTCCTCGTGCACGCGCGTGGTGCACGCATGCGTACTAGCATCTGCGCGATGCTCCAGCTGCTCCTGGACGATCGCGCAGGCGCTGTATGCGTCCTGCACATGCGTGGAAGCACAGAACTTGTCAAAACCGGGTAAGGACCGCGGGCGGGCGAGCGCGCCCTTCACCGTTCCAGGAAGTTACTTACTTCCGAGTTCGGCGACCAACCGGTTTGCAGGGACCGCCGCGAACCGGTTGAAACCCACCCCTGGCCTGAACACAGAAGAGCAACGGGTGAGGGCTGGCATGCCTGGAGAGATGGCTATGTGTGCCACTTCTGGCATGCGTGCCATAGGTTCACCATCACGGACTAGACAAATGTCTTTCTAGTATCTGTAAATATTCTTTTTAGTCTTAATATTGCTAGAAATACATGATTTAATACTGATAGAAATTCATAGTTATAAATTCTATGAGCTTGTTTGGAACTACAAGTGGTGTGAAATGAATATTATATTTCAAGATTCATGTATGTACTTAGGGAGGTTCTAAGTACAAGTTAATATCTTTAAGATATTTTAAAAAGATACCATGTTATTGTTGTTTTTTGAGAACAAGCATTCAATTAGTTTTAATCTAAATTACAGTTTTCATATGTGTTTTCTGAATGTCAGCTTTATGATGCCTATTTTTCCCTGGAATCAAAGTGATTTAGTTGAAAAACATTTATGGGAACCATTAGAACATAAGTGAGTGATTATAGTACCATGACAGACACTTGGTTCCTTTTTTTAAAATAAAAACACAGTATTTCCTGTATTAAAGGTTGTAAAATAGATTTGAAGGATGTTGGGATGGAAGTACTATTCCTATGCAAATGTTATTTGGGATAATCCTGATTTGAAAGTTGGGGGTAATGTTTTTAGCAACATTTAAGGCATAACTATTCTAACAAAATATAGTTAGTCATCCTGGAAGGAAACTTTATGAGATTTTTAATATACCCCAGTTTGTTATAGCTATTGGTCTGCCTACCTTTAATATTGGATTTAAAGCTCTTATACTACTCAGAAATGTAGTATTTGATGAGCTGAAATCCATAAATTAATAAAATGTATAGATTAATGGTTATTAATACTTTAGATCTAATTGTTAATGAAATGTTTAAATCATT